TCTAGATTAAACCAGTCAATCCTTCAAGTAGAATTTAAACTAAATTGAAAAAGACGAAAATACAAAAACGTGCACATGTGGATGGTGGTGTTGAACAGTCAGTTGCATGGCTCACTGCTTTGTTCCGTACTGAAATATTTTGACAGGATGAATTGCAATTCCATGCTGTAATTTTATAGTGACTCTGATAAAATGACAATTTAAAGTTTTTTGTTTTTGTTTTGTTTTTTAATCCAAGTAGCTTCAAAAGTAATATTTCTGTCAGCCACAACTGTACTGTTGTATTTAGTGCTAATTAACAAATGCTAACAAGCTAAGCTGAAATGGTGAAATGTCATACCTGCTAAACACCTGCACTCAAAGCACCTACCTAAAGACTCACAAGTGGACTCTTGCAATGGTTTTAAATCAAATATGCAAATAGTTTAAGCAATTTAACCCACAGAGTAAAGAACAGCTCATATTCTGACAAAGCAGCAATGTAGGATGATGCAGATTGCTTCCACAATCAGTTTAAACATTTATCCCACCACACAAACACACAGAAACAGGACTTTAATGACACATATACACACGCAAACTTTAGTCTACTTTACAGACTATGAAAGTCATGAATTCAAATTTATGTATTTTTACTCTCACTTAGCTCGCCTTGCAATTAATTTTTGGCCTCAGTCCAATCTGTTCTCATTTTCTCTCGTCCCTGCACTCTCTCACCTCTTATCCACATCTCTGTATCACTTGCTTTTATCTGATTTCATCCCCTCTGGCATCTTTCAATTTCCTCAAGCAATTTGCATTATGAAAGTGAGGGGGAGGGGGGGTGTCTAAATAAGCAGATCAATAGGCCATCAAACAGTCTTTAAGTGTGACACATACACAGACCTTGTGTCTCAGATTTCCACCTCTAACTAATAGCCTTGTTGTTTACTTTACAATGTGCTGCGTCATGTAGTTTTGGTCTCAGGTTGCCCTGCAGTGCATCGGGACACTCCGGGGAATCCGTACGCAGCCTTTACAGACTTTACAGTGTTGGCTGATGCTGGAGGGAACAACCGCACATTTTTCTTTACGCGTTTTGTTTTTCAAGGTGTCTCGTTTTATCAGAATTGTTGAGGAAGTAAAAGCTGTGGTTGATATTTATCTTTCGTCATTGGATAATGTAATCGTAAAATTTTATTTCACTGAAAAGACAATTGTTTGTGGTAAAGATAATAGGCCAATCAACCAAAGAAATTCTTCTACTGATCAGTCGGTCATTGAAGAAAAAAAATCTGCACATTATCTGTGGATTAAATGAAGTGCCCTCTTGCTAGCATTGTTAGCTTAAACGAATTATTAATAAACATATAGAGCTAGCAACGTATTTAATCATGTTAACCATGTTATTCTACACTGAACTTGGAGCCGACCACCTGCCCATATTCGTAGGATTTCTGAAAACTCAACTTGTGACCCCAGAACAAGAACTATGGAGGAAGACAACGTAGACAAGTTAATCTACTATTTTTAAAAGATCTGCCATGATTTGGTCGTTCAGCTGTGATATGTGTTTGTTATTTGCAAATTTCCACTCTACTTTATAGCCATCTGTGTTCACAAAATGCAATCAGACCGACAGCTTCTTTGACATAGTGTCAGTAAGTGTAGAGAAGAAGTTAGATGTGCAGTGTTCATTAGATTAGACCAATTCAAAGTTATGAAAACACAGGGATGTTTACAGTGTGTTCCCTGTCGCCAAAAATAATGGATTAATTCTGTAAGGCTATTGATGTAGCGATGACTAACACTGACGATTATCTGACGAGTCTGAGTTCGGTTGAATGACAACATGTCGACTGATCAATTGACCACATGACCTCGAGACTACAGTTTTAAAATACATACACTCTGGTCTGTAGAGCCCAAAGTAGCGCTTCAGTGTGAAATCTCCCATGTGAAGTCTTTTGGTGACAGTCTGTTCTCTGCTTTTGTGGCACAGAAATATGTCTGAGGACGGTCTCTCCCATCATCTTAGGCGTTGACCTTTGTCAGATGACAGGGAGAGGTCAACAGAGGTTAAAGTAAAGGGTGAGCCGAGAAAGGGGGCCCCCACCTAGTCATGCAGAAAGAAGCTGCCAGAGAGTTTTACACAGGGATAATGTGAACACACACACACACACAGAGCTGCTCTCCACCCAACGGGAACAACACTTCCTTGCTCTTGACCAACCAGACCTCGGCTATAGAAAGTCACAGACCCATGCAGAAATACAAACGTGATCGTAGTTTTTCCAACACAAACACACACTCATCAACTGGTTCTGAGTGATCTCTCTCCCTCTCCCTCTCTCTCCCCTTCTCCCTCTCTCCCCCTCTCTCTTTCTCTCAATCTCACTCACTCACTCTCCTCCTCTCATAATCGCACACAGTCGGGCTTCAGTGCACAGATTACTGTGATGAGCTATGACAAGGCGAGAGGCGAGAGGGAAGCACAGCAAGAATGGGAGAGGAGGATGGAGTGACAAAATGAAAAGAGCACAGTGGTAGAAGCAATTAGCACTTCTTACGACAAGTATTGAGTTAAATTAGTGCATTTGAAGCATAACGAATCAAGTTTCATGCTAAGATATTTACCTTGTTCTCTGCAGTCCAAAGCTTGAGCCTCGGAGCCTTCAAGATAGCACAATCTTCTCCATTAACAACAACTTAATGTTACTAATATACCGTTTGGCCACACCTCATATCTTGACAGTCTGCCATCATGTCTGAGCGGGTAGCCGCTGGGGATTGTGGGTACTGAGCAGTGGTGTGACTCTCTAGCAGCTCTGAAACACGAGACAGCCTGCCGGACATAACAGGCCTCTTTTTCTTCGGTGAATACACACACGCAGACGATGTCTCTGAATCACACACACAATGATGCATGTGAATGCCTCCGAGATTTCTTTATTACTCGCCACAAAAGGAAAGATAATGAACACATAGTGTCCTGGTTTTTCATGTAATGTTCTGTTTACATCAAAAATGCACCCATACCTTTATAGTCTACATGGTATATTCAGCGTGGCTCTGGTCTACATAATTGAAAACATAAAGGTTAAGTGTTGTGGCAAAGTGCACTGAGGTGTCAAAGGTCAGCTGACTTTCAACCCAGTCAGTGCAGGAAGTGGATTATTATTAGAGGAGAAACCAGCATGACCCTTATTTTTCTTTAACAATAGATCATTTTTATATTATTTTTTGGCTCCAGCCATTGTTTTGCATGGTGTTTAGTTCTGTGTGACAGAAGGAGGGTTTCCTGCAGGCTTTAGCGAAATGTTGAATTTTGTTCGGTCTTAGGAAAATCATGAGATTCCAAACATCACAGCTTTGCACTGTGAAGCTCTGTCATGATGATTTAAATTGTTTTGAAGATCAATGTAAGCCTCACAAAATAAACTCCAAGAGAATGCTGCACGCAATTTTGCCCCCCAAGTGTTTTTCCAGAAAGTTTCTGCTTTTCAGGGAGGAATAAAATTAGACTAATGTTGCCTGTTTGATAAATCATAATGCATAGTTTATGTAGTGAATATACACATTATATCAGCAGATACAGAAAAAAACACATTTGGAAACTGATGTTCATTGCCTCAAACATTTCTTCTTCTTCTTTTTTTTTTTTTTTGCTTTCAGTATTATTACAGGTAAAATATACAGAGGTTGATTGTATATCCACTATAAGGTCGCTGCTTGTTATTTTTTCTCGTTTATATCTATTCTTTTGGACCGTATTATAAATGATTTAAAATCCCACGAAGCTCATGATGGGACAGCTAAGACGTATTATGAAAGAAGCAGAAAATCCAGAAAGCAGATAGCTCTGTTTCTGGTTTTGGAGGGATTAGTGTGGTGCATGAATTCACTCTGGAGTCTGAAGTGTATTTCCAAAGCACAAACACCGAAATCTTGTTGTCATGCAGCTGACTCGAAACTAGCTCATAAGGAATGAGCCTTGGCTGGGCTTCACAGGAGTGGCAGCACTGGTTTCAAGCTGAGACTGCATGTGGGTATACTGGTGTGACAGCAGAGTGACCACTGGTCAGGAGGACAGATTTAAGTTTGCACCAAAACATAGGAGAGGATGAGCCTCACTGCCTGCATGTCAGCAACTTCTTTAACAGATCAGTAGTTTTTCTTAGTTGCTCTCCAGATATTACATATTGAATAATGCATACATATCCAGATGCATTCACACAGAAATTTAGAACAGGATGAGTCTCACTTTTTGTCTGAGTGTGTAAACACGTCCTGTGTAACACATATTGACATGCTGTATACGAGCAGTGACCCTTTAAATTTAGAAATAACAGATCAGTATTTTGCCTGATGTAAAACTAAATTCATCACACTGTACTTGAATTTGATAAACCATACCATGTAGTTTATATCATCTGTTCTTAATATATATACGTCAATTTTGAAATTAACGTCCACTATTTTAAAATATGTTTTCCAAAACATATGGATGTTATTACAGTGTAAAAGGTGTATTACAGCGCACATAGTTCCTCATTAAAATATTTGTCCGGTAACACTGAATGTACGTGTGCTTTTTATCCATTTTATAAACTGCTGTCCCTGCAGTTTAAGAAACAAAATGCCTGTATTTTATAGAAGCCTGGTTTTTGGTTGAAATTAAATGGAAATGTCGACCGACAAGCAATTTAGGCCGATTAGAAAAGCAAGAATGGTGTGATTTAAGAGATTTACGTCAAGCAAATAAGTTTTTAAGTTCCCGCTCAGTTTTGGAAACTTAGTATTATCTGTTCAATCCGTAGCCTAAATTTTGTCATGTTTGGCAAACCTAAAATCCACTTAGCACTTCATGCTAAAATCACAAAGCTGCTACTGTCAGGATTTAAAAACTGAATATAAACATACACAGCATCCACAACTTTTACAGTTTCATGTAGTAATAATAAACCAATGATGTCTGAAACACAAAGTTCACCTCAAAATACGCAATCAATTCTGTAAAATATTTCTTGAATGAAGATATTTTAATTACAGTTTCAGTAAAAGGTGTAATGAGCCTATAGGCAAACGTGGAATAAAAGTAAGAATAGTAAGATACTCAGAGAAAAAAAAAACAACACATGCGTGAAACAGAAAAAAATGTTAATTACATTCATTTAAATACATAGATAATTTCAGTTATTCAAAATTCATTATGATACTGGAAATGCATGCAAATAGGCTATAATTTCTTTGGTGGCTTAGGCTGCTGGAAATGCTGTTGTCGGTAGTAATAATAATAACATTAATAATGAGAATAATAATAATAATAATGACGTAATGTAAACAATAACATGTTGTAGATGATACTGGTTTAGGCCTCCCTCAGGCTAGCATCAGCGCAGCCTGTTATTTTCTACAAACGGCTGTTTAACAATAGGTTTAGTGTCAAGCCTTTACAAAACAACTTTGACTGAAAATAAATAATACCGAATCCGCTTATTTTTCTGTGATATGTACCAACTCCTCTGCCATTGTACTTGCAGTCCTCATAAAGAGTCAAGGCCGCAGCACCGGCCCCGCCATCTAAACACCTTAAATGCTTGAAACTTGGCAACAAACCACCAAAAAGTGTCTCTTTCACGCAAGGGGATGATTAAAACCATCATACGTCCCCGTCATACAGGCTGAAGTACTTGCTGGCGTTTGAGAAGCAGAGGTAAGGCGTGCTACTCCCCGGGTAGACTACGGGCAGAGGCATGGGCAGCAGGCATCTCCCCAGCAGGTTGCTCTCTTTGTACAAGGCCGGGAGCTGCCCCACCACCACCGGCTTTCCAGTCTCGGGGAAATCGCTAACTGGTCCGTCGATTTCAGTCGAGATTTGCCGTTTCAATTTATTCCTGCGGTTCTGAAACCATATTTTCACCTGGGTCTCCGTCAGCTGCAGGGAACTGGCGAGGCAAGCGCGCTCTGCGCTGCTCAGATAGCGTTTCATGTCGAAGGTAGACTCCAACTGAAAAATCTGTCTCTTGGAAAAAATCGTGCGCGTTTTCTTTTTCGTGATCATTTTGCTTTTTTTCGCTGGGCTCCCTCCTTTGTGGAGCTCCGTGGCTGCGGTGGTGGAGCTGCTGTCGTCGCAGCTGCTGTCCCCGCTCTCGAAGCGCGCCTCCGCCGCCTTCCTCTGGCTCCCGCGGCTGATGATGACCGACTCCGTTGCTCCGCTGCAGTCGGTGATCAACTCTGCAACAAAATGACACTTGGTTTAACCCGCTGTGGTCAGAGATCAAACTGTGCTGCTGCTGCTGCGTTAACCGCAAACTCTAATGTCCGCGTATGCGAGCTGTGCGTAATACTGAGCACCGATGACAGAAGGTCTGTAAACAAAGCATTCATCAAGCTATAAATTCACCTAAACCTTCTTACCACTTTCGCTAAGCCTGCTGACGGGATCCTGCCTCTGCTGGGCTGCTTTCTCCTCGTGGTGACTCTGGAAATCGTCTTTACGCATCGCCGTGGCCAGTTCATCCTGCAGTCCGGCGGACTGACAGCTGTCACAGTTCCTCCCGCCGGTCTTGAGGTTGAGGATGTTGTCAATGGTGAATTTCAGAGAGGCGGCGGGTCGGCATGGCGCTTCTACTTTGTTCATATTCTCCCAGGCGGTAGTCCTCTTTTGCTCTCTTCCTCGACTCTACTCGCCCTTAACTCTGAACCGGGACGTTAATCTCTTCACTAACGTCTCGACACTCCACGCACCATAGCAGCAGCCACTGAGCAGACACTGCTGGGCTGCCTGTGCTCTGCCTGCGCCGCTACTACACGCACAGGATGGAGCGCTTCCTCCTCACCGATTGGTCCAGAGCAACGTTCAGTGTGAGCCAATGACAGCGAGGGAACAGGAGGAGAAGGGAGGGCAGCAGAGTATTGTTGTGCCCTCCCTCTCGCCCCTCATCCCCCACACGTCTCCGACTCCCCCCAACTCATCCTCAGACATCTGCTGCAGAGAGAGCCGAGTCCGGAGCCCTGCAGAGCCCCCAGGATAATAAAGAATACTTTAATTTCCCTGTTATTTCTCACCATGTACAGTATGTGCGCTGGGACCTCATGCGTAATTAATGTGATTTTAATCGACGTCTTAGTCACATAATTGCTTAACTCGAGTCTAATTTGGGGATCTCGAACATAAACGTTGGCGACTTACGATAAATAAAGTAAAGTAGTATAATATGAAACAAATACCATTGTTGGAATTGCAGTATCTGTTTATCTGTGAATGTTTCTCGCATCGTATTTCGTAAAACTGCATTTCGACTTTTACGCACTCACCTATTTTTCTTTTGTAAGTCTGGCTTGTTGAGTTTTTAGTAGCTTTATTAAAAGATAGTGTGAGCAAAACAGTCAAATAATAAATAACTAATCACAAAAATAGTTTGCTTTTATTCCTTGTTGCATTCACACTGATCGTGTCGTTCATGGCCTATAGTTAATATAGGAGGTAATCCATAGGCCTAGATATATATTTTCCTCATATAAAGTCGATGCGAAATTTGAAAAAAATAACGCTTTACGTCACGTATTACTTAAAGAAATGTTTTAGAGAAACCTTATGTTACTGTATTTATTTTGCCTGTGATTAACCTTTTTCTTATTTTGAAAAATACTTTTCTAAATATAGGCCTCAGTTTTGGAAGAACCTGTTCATAAACACGTTTTCACATGTATCAGGTGCAAAAACTGAACTTGCTAACAAACTGGCATTTTTAATTTTATTTTTTTCCCAAATATCTCCCAACCACTGGTTGATAAAATGTAACTAAAATGGGACATGTTTTCTGACTAGTGTATTTGCATATCTCCATGGTCTGGTTCCCTTATATTCTTGGATTTGTTATTGTTGTAATATTTATATTATCTGTATTGTTGCATGTACTTGTGTATGCTTATAACTAATGGGTGTTAACAGGCACCATGGAGAAGAGACTGGCAGAAGCCTACTTGCAACAAAACTTAGAAAAAGTGCACAAAGGTTAACTTTTCCATTTCCGAATAAGACACACATGTTCCTGCTGTAAGCTTTGTTCTTTACATGTGTCAAGGAACATATGGATTCACTTGCTTCTCTATAAACACACAGCCTTTGTGGTGTGACCCTGCATATCTGTGATTGTCAGAAATGAAGACACATTTTAGGTCACAAGGGTGCACATAAACAAAGCAGATAGTTTTGTGCTTGATTTTTATTTTTATTTAATTATTATGTGAAAAAAGTGACAAAGTTGGAAAAAATCTGTGACTTTAAATATAAAAGTTTGCAAAAATATGTGTGTATTCAAACATACATGAACAGCTCCGGCCTCCGCTGCCCTCCTCGGCCTTGTCATGCTTGACTGTTATAGTTTATACTGTGTCAAGACTCTTGTCGAGGCTTATGAACAGAAAGATACTTCATCACTTTGTGTTATAATCACGGACTCTGCGGCTCTATCTTTGGATGCAATCAACATTTTTCTGCGGCATTGTGGGTTATTGCACGATTAACATTAACGGGGTGAATTTCTGTAAACAGTTTCATATATCAGTCTTGAACAGTCTTTACACCAGGCCGGTCATCTGCGATCTGAGCATGCTCATGGAGTGAGCAAACGACGACAGAGGGTAGTTGATGGAGCTGGAGAAGCCCGCTATGGGTGGAGAAACTGGATGTCCATTTAAGTTGAAACCCAGAGCTGCAGTGGGCGTAGGTCCCTCATGATAGAGGATGGGCACCCTGACAATCCGCTGGGTCGAGTTCGGGATGTGTGCAGCCTCCAGATCCGCCGCGAGCTGTCTCTTCCATTTATTCCTCCGGTTCTGGAACCAGATTTTGACCTGAGTCTCTGTCAGGTGGAGCGATGCTGCTAAACCTGCTCTCTCCGAGCTGCTCAGATACCGTTTCACGTCAAAAGTGGACTCCAGCTGAAAGACCTGACTGCGACTGAACACGGTGCGGGTCTTCTTCTTCCGGGTGGAGCTCGGGTCCGATGCTGCGTCTTGCTCTGAGCGCGCGTCAAAGGCGTTCGGCGCGTCGTCGTTGTCGTCCGTGAGGTTGCTGTCGCCCACTTTCCTGTCGATTTCGTCGCTGCCCTCAGTTATTGGCTCAGACACGGCGGGTGAACCCCTGTCACTGGTTGATACTGAGCAGCAGGGGTCCTCTGAACTGGCGATGTCCCTTGGACCTGAGAAGGAGACAAAATAACATGAGTTACCTAAAAAGAGGAAGTTGCTAATTTTGTCTGAATGTGCTGATATATTGACTCAGCTTTCTGATAGGCTGCATTGTTGACCTTAAGCAATTTTATACTTTTTATGTACACTTAAATGTGTGTGGAATACATCAATTCACTGGAAAAAGAGAGAGAAAAAAGTATTTTACAGGAAAATGACCAACCACTTTGTAAGAAATAAAACATTGGCGTTTTCACTCCTTTAAAGACGCTACTGTTTGTGTTTTGTAGCTGATCCGTTACCAGAAAGTTGGGCTGCAACGCTAAGGCGTTTTGATTGGATTGCCTATCACATGATCCATGCGAGGAAGCTGCTTGAGGCCCCGATTATGATACAGATAAGAGTATAATGTCTTCTAAAGGAAATCCCACAATATCTTTGCAGATTATAACCTAATAGTAACATCCAACAAGTAAATCCCGGTTTAGTGTGGACACTGGCACGGTGCTTCTGTCACATGTGAACACAGGATGGTGATGTTGGAATTGTAGAAATGAAAGTATCAGCTTGAGCTCACCAAAGGGAGGGGCACTTTGTTTGGATGTGAGGGCGCGTATGAGTGGCACTAATGGCACCGAATGTGCGTAAAAGCGTCACGCTGACGTGCCATGCCACTGCGTCTCTGTTTTGGGTTATGTTCTGGGCATTTGTGCATAATCCATGTAATCTTCAAACTGTGTTACGGATCTCATGATGACATGCAGCCATTAAATGTCCTCTGTGTCATAACGGTGCAGTGGAAGTAAAAAAAAAAAAGAAACAAACTAAAAACCTTCCACGGTCAGATATGAAAACATCAAGTCTTACACGTGTTTTACAGCTCGATGCACGCCTCAGCTTGTGCAGAGAAGTACATTTTCATTTGCATTACAAATCAGCTGCACTTTAGGCTTTAAAGTTGGGGCGCTCGGTGAGCCCTTGGTGAATAGATGCAGAGAGGAGCCACAGCAGCCAGGGCTCCAGACTCTACTTGTCTTAAGTTGGTTTTATTTAATGAATATATAAGCAAACGCAGACATGTCAGCCTTCTATATGAACTCAGGGACACAAATAAACGATCTGATCATGTACATAATAGTTAATATTAAGAACCTAAAAAAGTTAAATGTGATGTGAATTAAACCCCTATAGTGTTTTGATCAAGACGTATTTGCCAATATAACATTCTAAAGCTGGAATTTTGCACTTAATTACTTTATCAGTCACAATGTCCTGTTTTTCTTTTTTTTATATATCACAAAGTGCATGTATTAAACTCCGTATAAGTGTCCCGGCAATAGCTGCAGCAAAATGCCTGCCCTTTTTTGCATCACGCTGCACACAGGATAAAATGCCCCGAGCAAAAAAATTTTTGCATACAATGTTTTGCACCTCTGCGTAATAACCAACTAGTTCGAGGACGCATACAAGCCACTCTCTACTCACTGTGTGCTGCTTCCAAGGCTCTGAAGTTCAAGTTCCCCCCGCTGTACCACTGCAGCGGCGACTCTCTGTGCGCAGACCGGTCTGTGGAGCTGAAGCCACCGGGCGCCGGAGCGCTCGTCTCGGCGTGCTGCGCGTTTAGGTTTCGCTCGGTGGAGACCGTCTCCGCACCAGCATCCCCTCGACTGCTGTCCGGAACCGACTCCTGCCCATTCCGCCCCTTCCCCAGAAGATTCTCGATAAAAAACGACGACGACGCCCTGGATGAAGTGGGACTCGCGTTTTCCGTCAGCTTCTGCTGCATGTTTTCCCCGATGTCACGGCGGTGTTACGCAAAAAAGCCAGCGGATTCTCTTTCGGTCGTGCGTTAGGACGATCAAAAATCGAAGCAGTCATTTCAAGCGTCGCTGCTTTTGCGCTGCGGTCTGACGAGGAGTCATGGCCATAGACTGGAGGGGGGAATCTCCTCGGTGCCAGCGGGAGGAGAAGGAGACAGAGCGACGGAGGCAGCAGTACAGTGAAGTCAAACGATTAATGAGCCGAGGGCATCCAGCGATTGGACGAGCACAATAGCAAATGGGGTTTTCCAAGGAAAGAGAATTACTGTCTCATGCGTCAGCCGCTGCTGCTGCTGCTGCTGCTGATGTGTGTGTGTGTGTGTGTGTGTGTGTTTGTGTGTGTGTGTTCACGTGCAGGCCCGTCCCCTCGAGGCCAAGCAGACAGGAGAAAACCTCAGTTCGTGGTCCTGCACTCTTTATTTGGGTCAATTAGAGTGCAAATCAAAATAAAAGATCAGCCAAGGAGGAGAAGGACGGTATGTGAGCGTTTGTAAACGTTCTTGTTTATTACATGAAAAAAAAAATCAAGTTTAGTCTACCTGCATTTTTCACTTTACAGGCCTATAAATCAATTAGCTATGCAATGAAAGATAACGTTTGGCAGCAACTTACGGGGTCTAATATGTAAATTTCAGTAATAACTAGACCTAAATAGAATAACTCAGTGGCATGCTGTTATTGCACTCAGATTTGTGAATGCATATGCGCACCGAACCGCGCAAAATGGCACACTGCGTCATGGAATTGGCCGCTGTCAAAGGTTATCCAAACTTTGCGTAATGGCTCTAATATTTCTGATAATAAGGCCATTTGTGTGTAGCAGTGTGCAGCGTTGGTTTAATAACGTCTTTTGCCTGTTCCTTCTTATCTCGAGATTTGGACTTGATCAGCAGAAATATTCAAGGCTATTTGCCAACAGGCTGCAGCTGGCCTAATAATACATCGCCGTTTCGGCCTAAGGTTCTCCCAGTGTAATTCCTTTTGGTAATTTTCTGTATTTTGTTGCCTTTGCCTCTCTCTCTCTCTCTACATATATATATATATAAGTCTGGAGATTAAAGTCAAAATTTTAGATTAGTGCAAATAAATCTTAATTATTAACTCGACAGTAGAAAAAATCCTCACAAACCTTAAAAAGCTCTCCACGTAGGCGCACAACCCCAAACCAACCTGGAACAAAGTTGCACAAACTCTAAGCCGTTGTTCTGATGCGCAATGGTGGACTCAGTGAATCCTCTGCATCCCAGATTTTAGGCTCTTGTACAGACAAAAAACAAAAAGAAAGTTAGGAGTCGTATGTTTCCGTTAAATGGAGTCCTCATCGCGCAGATGATGATAAGCTTATCACTATTAGATCATCAGAAACATTTAAATGAGTGCTGACGGGCGTCTTTACCCTTTTCCTTGAAATGGCAAGACATTTGAGCTTTTTATTTCCCTCAATAGAGTCAGCGGCTCTGACCTTTAACTCCAGCCTGCCTCTCTTTCTCCCCCCTGTCTCTCCCCCCCCAAGGCTAGACTTACCCTTTGACAGAGGATCAACGTTAATGCTGCTCCTCAACCTAACACTCAACGCAGACAACAGTAACACGACCTCGTGTGTTGGAAGAGCCGAGGCTTGCACCTGTCTGGTAATATCGAGCTCAGTAAATAGATCTAATAACGCCTCGGCTGATTGCGCTTGGTGCGTAATGGCACCCAAAAAAACAAAACAAAAACAAACAACAAAAAAACCCGGCTCCACTTAACGAGAAGAAATTTTTAACAGTTAGCCTTAGGTCCTTATGCAAAAGAAAAAATGCAAATGTTTATTTTTTTAAATGTCAGTTGATGCCTAACGTTAATGTGCTGCGTTGTAAAAAAAAAAAAAAAAGGCCTAATAATTTCACAATTGTAGTTTGCAAAAATTACAGTAAAACGGGAATCTAAAAATAAAAGCAAAGTTTGGGATGTTTATTTTCTGCAAAATCACTACTTTTCTGATTTATTACTTGCATTTTACAGAGTGGACGTTGGAAAAATATTGTGTTTGTATGTATCAAAGTAAATGGTATAACAATATGAATGTTTGTATGTCTGTAATAGTTATCGTTTTCTCTCTCTCGCTGTAGTGTTTTGCCCTGTGGGCCTTTATATGAAACAGTCCCCATAGATCAGGACTGGCTTCTTATCTTAGTAACATATTTTAAAAACTTTACAGGGGTGATAGTCAAGGATCGTGTGGATGTGCTTGCTCAGTGTTGGCAGTTCATGCAAAGGTAGATGATGTTCTTCAAACGTGTGATCGCATCCTTATGTACAGCCTTAATTAACGTTTAAGAATTGATGTCTACTTTATTAAACACACACAGCATCTTGCTACAAATCTCAATAATCACTTATCATCAGCATTAGGTTTATATAATTTTATATTTCTACAAGCAGTGTCAAATACCTGAGTGTGCACTCACCGGCCACTTCATTAGGTAAACCTGTGAAGTGTAATTCAGGCCAATGCAACTGCTTTGCTACAAACTCTACTTTTGCAAAGTATTTTTGTTGGTGTTTTCCAAAAATTTAATGCAACGTTTACAATTGAGGTTATAGTGGGAGATGGTCATGTACTGGACTGTAATACATTAAAAAATCTGTCGTATTTTTCCCCCCTCATGTATGTTATTGTAGTGGACAAAATATTCGAAACACTTTTAAATGTAATGGAGTCCATCACACCACCACCATTGTTTGACATCAACAACAGCTAAAACTGTAGAACTGCAGATTGCACTACATTCCGAATGTGTACCGAATTCAGTGGCCGGCGAGCGTATTTCATGTAGTTTTTTGGTGGCGTGTCTGTGAAAATGATGTGTTTGGGTGTGTGAAAAACCCCACATTAGATCAAGTTTCTCTGTGTACACCACGCCGTCTGAACGATGTGGCACCCTGGCCGGCGCCCCCTGCTCTGGGGGCCGACAGTCCAGACCCCGAGGCCCCTCTCTCACTTTCCTCCCTCACTCCTAACTCCTCTGTCCTCTCTCTCATCCTCCTCTGATCCTCATCCAGACTGGCGTGCCCTTTGCTTCGTAAGGGCCTGCTGGCCTGCTCCACAGCTAGCAGCCCCCTCCGTTTCCACCGCAGCTCTGAAATACAGTTTCACCACACAAAATCATATCATCAAGCATGTGCTTCAGGAGACAGCTGCGTCAAATTGACCATGTTTCTGCAGTTGGCGGTGGTGAGTGTTTTCCAGCCCTCGGTGCTGCCAGGCCTGCAAGCGGTGAAGCAGTGTTGCAGTTTGTGTTATTTTCATCCAAGAGAAAACAGAAGTCCTCTGTGAGATGGCAGCGAGGGTAAAATTGCATGGTTTTTGAGAAGCAAATCGACTGTGTGTAACGTGCATTATATGGTTTGTAAATCTTACACAAGACCAGCACGAAACCTTTTCCAGCGCTTTTGTAAGCTGCCGTGAGGTCAGTTCCAGTTTTTTCTGCTCTGAGATCAGATGATTTAGATTAAAGAGGTACAAAGTGGGATATTAAAAAGATGAATAAATCTATTCAGAGTATTTGTATTTTATATCTACCTCTCTATTGACAGTGTTGTATTTAAAACACATGCTGTTTTCATATAACTCAAACATTTGCACAGTGTTAACCAGCTGTATTTCCTCTGCAGGCTCCTGTTTTTAATTTACCTGGGTCTGATTGTGATTTTACAACGGCTTTTATTCCTTCAAGTGTGATTTTACTGGTTCTGGAGTCTATCGCTCTCAGTAGGGGTTAACTGTCAATGAAAAAGGAGACTGTTTGACCTAGTTCATTTATACTAGAGGCAGTGAGACAGGCAGGCTGAGACAGGAAGGCATGCATCTCCTCTGGGGCATTTCACAGATCTGTACATTATGATGTCTTCATGGTGACTCAGTGAAGTATAGTGACTCCAGCTGACTTTTATTTCAACTCAGGCATGTGCATCAATTTGTACATACAGTAAACACATACACACAATTAAGGAATTGTGACACAAACAAATGATAGACAACTAAACACAAGTCATGCAGAGAGCAGAGACCTACATTCATTAGGCGCTTGGCTTGGGGCCCTCCGAAGGTCAAAAGGGTGCAGTGCACCGTAGGGTTACATATACATCTCACCCACAAGTTGCAGAAACCGCCTTGCACCATGCAGTTTAGAAAAGAGCTAAAACTGCAGTAATTTAATAATCTGTCAAAGCAGATTAATATTCAGATCAGTTAATGTTCTGCCCACAAGCTCCACATGCTGCAAGTGGGATAAAGCAGGGTGCCAAGCAGATCATGCCACTAATTCAGAACTGTAATAAAAGCAAAATGGATTCTCTGTTTGTAAAGCCCCAATACTGTGGTTTGTCCTCTTTCAAGCTATTTCATATTTCAGCCTGTTTGATAGTAGAATGAAGAAACCTTTTCATCTCTCCGCACTAGTTATGATCTTTCCAAACTTTGAAGCATTTCACTCTTTCTAACAAAATCTCATTGCATACCTACAATCCTTATCTGGCAAGCCCGCTAAGCCTGACTGTGCTAGCTCTGGCATTAATAATTCACTGTACATAATAAGTTGATGCTGCAGAGTTTGTTCTCATTGATATTAGCCGAGGTGAGCATTCTTGGCCAGACTGTGTGACGCCAGCAGACCAGCATAAAGTGGGCTTTAATTGCCCATAATCTCTGTCGTTCTCTTTCCTCTCAGTGCAAGTCAACAGCGTATAGGCTGTGAATGCCAGACCTTAGCGAGGCATTTTTAGCTCCGTATCAGCATGAGCCTCACAACAATGCTTGGAAGAGATTTTTTTTTTTACTCAAAAAAACTCAAAGGACTTGAGACGATTTTGTGGATTTTTTACACCCGCTCTCACTGTACTGGAATTTCAAGTCAGCGCAATTACATTTGTATCCAAAAGCAAAACAACAAGAGGTTTACACTTTGGGAACATTGTTTTCCTT